TAAAACGTGGACACTACTACACTTTGTCAAATTTCTGCAGACTATTGAGTTCCTGCAACCAAGTGAATACTTTCCAATATATGCTTTTCTTCATGTGGTCTAACAGAGCATAGCTTGATAGTAGGTTTAGAAAACAAACTAAAAGAAACCATACCACAACAACTAAACTATCTAAAAAAGCATGTTTCTGAGAAGGTGGCAGCAGTAAGAAATTGTACATGGGTATGTACTCTACCTTCAGATGCACATCTTAGAGCATATTAAAAACATCGGAACTTGGGCAGAGGGAACTCTTCTCAACCAAAATACAACAGATTGAACAGGAAGGCACTTTTTAGCTGTGCAAGGTTCTTGTAAATAGCCCATGCTGTGCTAATAAAACCATTGTGACTGGATGCTTTTGCAGTGGAAGCTGACAGATGAAGCAGAGTTAAGTACTTCTTCAGACAAGTTACCACAGTAAATCATTAAAGTGTGCAAACAATCATCCTTCATCAGCCTGTGATTTTTTTTAATAGCAATTGCAAATCGAAAACAATGTAAACAAACAAATCGACAACTGATGAACATTCCTTCCACTGCTCACTGTAAATAGATCTACAACTTTAGAAGAACACTTTATCCAACACATTGTCAACTCATTGTAAACACATCTACAAGACATAAACAACTCATTACCCAGTATGTTGTCACCTCGTTGCAATTAAAGTTGAATGCTAACTGTACTGAATTTCACTGAACTGAATCAATTCGGAAGCCTCTATGAAAATGTCTAACCATATTAGTTCAATAAGTTTCAGGACTTTTAAGACTATCTTTTCAAGGTATTGGGAATTTATCTTGCATTTTTTAATGTGAAAATTGTCAGAAATCACATTACTTTTTCCAACTCACAGCTAAGCTGATTCAGTTAGATTTCCCACTTACATGTAACAGTTTCTATGGAAATTTTTGAGATGAGAAAAGGATTCCTCAGGAGGCTCTAAAACTTATGGATTTCCTTGGAATTTATATACTTGAACTTCATCTGACAATTCTTATTTTCTGATGCCACTTAAATTTCTAAAGCATGGAAAGTACTAATTTGAATAAGTTCTATTGAAAAATCTATTTACCTTGGGAAAAAAAAGGTAGTGAAAATAGCATTCTAAAGTGTTTCCTTAGCTTATATTTTTTTGTGAATTTTAAAAAATTTACTCTGTAAAATCCTATTTCTTCTTCTATCTATGGTAGCAGTATTTAAATATTTTTATCCAGATGATATACTATAACTATCCAGAGAGATAATTTCAATTACTAAGTTTAAGATATTAAAGGTAACTTTCATGCATGCTGGCTGTAAATCTGAGTTTCTTCTGTTAACTTCTGAATTTAACATCAAATTACGTATATATTAGTTTACTGTTTAGGGCACAGTTTACGAGAACAGGATGTTCTCAAAAATTGGTTTTTGTAAACTTTTCTGCTAGACTTTGTACCCAAATCTGTTTCTTCACAAGGAATCTGTAAATTGTTTTGGGAAAAGGATTGTCCGAGTCTTCCATGTTTACAGTATTCTTAGTACACAAAGCCATAGCAATCTTTAGGGTTCCAGTGCTACAACTAAGAATGAATGTATGTAGTGGGCAGTCCATTCTATAAAAATGTGTTGTTATAATCTTATTTTTGAGGTCAAACTTCTCTGCTGAACTTCTCGATTCAATTTAAAAACACTTCTTTTATATGATGGAATGTAGTATTAAGACTGGAGATGCTGGCTTATAACTATAGCAGGATTACGAGCTTAATCATCTCCTCACAAAAATGATTTTTAAAAATATTAGTTTGCAGAATGTATGTTAGTGTTTTATGTTAGACTGTTCAAGATCTGTTTTGTGTGTTGCTCTCACATGTCACTTTGGCATCCAAATAGCCTGCAATACATAAATTGTTTTACAAGTGCAAAAGATCATAAGCAAATTAAACTGCTCTGGTTGATAAGCAGAAAATGCACTCCACATATAGAATATGATACTTTGCAATCTTTTCTCAATAACATTTTAGAAGTTGTGCAATTTTCAGTCGCCTTTGGAGCAAATCCAATCCATTGCCATTGTGTCCAGGAAAAACTGATGAAAATTTAGTTGTTTTACTTGTTCCTAAGTGCAGTAGGAATTATAGAATGGTTGAGATTATTGATTACAACTTGTGTGGTCAAAGGAAGACTTATTCTCTATGTTTATTATGGATTACTCACTGTTCAGCAAAGGAAACATTGAAACAGTTTGCTTAAGGATCTGATGTGTTCTCCAACACTTCATGCCTGTTTAAAAGATGTAATTTAACTCAACCAGCAATTATGACATGGATGAAGGAATTCCTTAATCATTTTTTGGAGGAGATAAGTTGTTAATTGTGTCCTGATTGATTGTAGTTCAGATTAGTCTTAACAATATCAAGAAACTTAAGAGTTTAATGTATCTAAAAATTCATGAAATACAGGGGGGGGAAATGTGGAGTTGTTTTACTCAGGTTGAACTCAATCCGAAACTGCCTTTTGCTATTTTCTTTCAACATATATTTACTGAATAGCTTTTTACTTATTAATAGGTTTACTTCTGTATCACTGTTTGTGGGTCTTCTGTACCAGTGGAAATTATTCTCACCAGAATATCATAACCTGTCCTCTGTGTTGTTCATTTTAAACTAGCTTGACAAAAGAGAGAAAGGACACTAGAACTTTATGTCTTTCCACATACAAAAGGCTTAATTCATTCAGAAAACAGAACTTCATATTCCTCTCAGAAAGGAGACTCTTATGACTCATTTTTTTCCTCAGTGGAGCTGAGTAACCCACTAGAAGGAAATTATCATTTTAAAATACGCCATTCTCTATGTTTGTGCTTTTACTTGATCAACTCTGTAAACTATACAGATAAAAAAAATATGTATATTTGAAGATTGCTTCAGGAGAATTTGGCAAATTTAAGATAAACATTATTCAACTCCTAAAATATTTATATACCTACTCCAAACCCATATCAATAGAAAATTACTCTTTAAGTTCAGAAGACTGTTGATCAAGCGCCTAATATTTATGAAATTTTCATTGTAACTTTAAGCATTTCTTATTCTAGCTTAAAATGTTGCTAAGATTTTGAATTAAGTGCAGTACTTTCCATTGAAGACAGAGTTAATATTTTTGACACAGGATTATTCTCAACAATTTTAAGAAAAATGTCCTCTTATTAAGATATCCAGCTCCTTTACAAATCATATTTTATTGTTAAGTATTTCCTTTTCTATCAATGCAGGAAATCTACAGCAAATCCAAAAACCTTTAGAATAAGTGATCTCTATTTTCCTTAATATGTGTTCAAATTGTCACTGTTTTGTCAGACAAAACATTTCTCTGTAGACTTGATTACATCAGAGATACTGATTTATTTTGTATACATTGTCTGAATTCTATGTTTGAATCTCACAATTCTGAGGTGTCACCAATTTTTAGCAGATACCTTTTTACCACTCACCTATATGGACAGGAAGACAAGTGTATATGCATATTTTTCTACTTTTCTAGATATTTCAGCTATTTAATTCACTTATACATTATGTAGAAAAAATATATTGACAATTTCACAAAGAACTAAGCTTACTCGATATTGTGTCAACAGATGTAAAGCTCTTGATGGCAAAATAAATCTCCAGTGGTAGCAGTGAATGCCTTACTGAGGTGGATTCTCGATACCAGTAATACTGTGCAGCCTTGGTGTCAAGACTGAATTCTTCTGTAAAGATTTTCAAAATAAGTGTTAGATTTGATGCACAAAATTCTGTATGTTATATGATATTGTTTTAAATGAAAAATTACAGTATGAAAGAAAGAATACAACTTCTCATTAATATTTCTGACAATAAACAATTTTTGCTTTGCCATGTACATGCAGCAGTACTAAGTATTTGTTGATCAAGAAGGCAGTGCAAGGTAGTTGGAAGTTGGATGTCCCCTAGTGACTCCATGATCTTTATTTTCATCTGAAGTAAGCATTGTGCCCACATGTTCAAGTTTTTAAGTTATAATCTCTTTTGATCTAATTATTACTCAACAGGTTAGACCCTGCCACAGAGAAGTCCCTGCTACATAAATGACTATTAATAGAAAATAAAAATAGTCCAGCTGTGCCAGACAGATTTTTAACATGCTTTAACACTGGAAAAAAATACATGACAGCTGTGCATGGGCAGTCTCTCTCACTGTAAATGAGAGAAAGAAATGAGGTGAATTTTCCACTACCTCAAACTTCATCTTCCCAGGAAATGTTTGCTTCCTTCATTCTTACTAAAATTTCAGTGTTTTGCCTCCCCTCCCAACTTTTTTTAAATTCATATTATCTATGTCTGATTTCTTGCTGGTTTGAAAGATAAGCAGTTTGTTGATAGGAAGGAGGAAGGGAGGGAAGGAAAGTTCACCAGATTTTAAGATGTTTTACACATTCTTACCATGAAGTTGGTTTTCTTGTCTCTCTCGTATAAGCTCATATTCATCTCTCATAGTCTCATAATTATCCTTGAAGAGATGTGACTAATTTTTACCCAATTTTTATTACAAGTATCCCTAATAGTCACCAGAAGACTGAGAATTCTATCAGCTTTTAGCTTTTGTCTGCAATGTCCTCTTGAGCATGTATTTGGCATTGTTTACTTCTAAATTCTTATCTTCCTTCATCATCAGTATAATAATTGAGTAAAGAATCTAAAATGGACCTCCTTTGGGAAATGATTGCATTTATATATATTTATCTGAGCTAAAAATTTGTATTGTCTTAATTTAAAGCTGAAGTAAGTAATTACGGTATACATCAGTGCATTGTTTTGGCCAGTGGATGTGAGGGCAACTCTGACAGTAATGCCTCTTATTTTGTTATGTTGATTCACAACAGCAGAGACAGATGTTGGTGGCATTGCAGTAGAAGTGGAACCTTTCCACTAATATCCTGTTATGTTTTGTTACCTTGCAGCAAAGGGGCAGTCTGGCAAATTGGTACCTGATGTGGAAGTGTGCACAGAGCAGAGGTATGTCACTGAATTCCTCAATGTAGAAACAATTCAACTAATTGACTTTCATTGATGCTTGCTGAATGCTTATGGAGACCAAACAGTGGATGTTGGCGGTGGGGTGGTGGATGGTGAGTTTCAGCTGGGGTGACAGGGACAGTGGGCCACCTCTGTTGGTGCAAATCTTTACAAGTGCAGCATGCGTTCTTGTTTATCACTGCCGAAAATACATAGCTAATAGTGGGGACTAATGATGGTTAACAAGTGGGGTTTTTTTTTTAAGCTGAGAATTTGCTCTATCAAATGTTGTTATTGAGTTCTTTGTACCTGTTGTATTTCCACAGAAATAAATGGCATTACTTTTGTAGCAACCTACTTTTGTGTCAACTCATATATTCGTTTTATTCCCCTCCTCCCCCCCCCCCCAAAAAAAAAAAAAAAGCTACATAAGCTTTCTGTCTATTTCAAGCTGACCAAGTCTTTGGCTTTTGAAGTATGCTGAGTGAAATATTCTCTCACTGAAATCATTGCCTTAAATCAGAGTTCAAATTTGAATTTCATTTTTTAACGTTAAGAGGTTTTATGCAATCTAAATAATGTCAAAATACTGAGGCATCTTTTTCAAATTCTGCATTAGGATATGTGTTTTATTTGCTTGCCACAGTATGTGGATGTTATATACAGCTGACATAATTCATGTATGATGAGATGACTTTTTCAGTTTGTAGGAACTGGAAGAGATATACAGGTCAATAGATTTGGAGACAGAATTCAGGGGAGAGAATTAGCCAAATGCTCAGGGCAGGCAGTGGAGAGCAAGTAGGTACAGGGAGTGTGTGCCTGCTATTTAAGGGAGCACCTATCTGACTATTCATTTTATCTGTTTGTGAAGGGCTGTAAACTAATAAGTTGTCACTGAAAGGTTATCTCCAGTACACTTTAACTGATGTAGCTAAATGACAAAAAGTGATTTCCACGTTACTTGATAACAGTGAATTAAATTCGGTACAGTAGTATTCTTTGTTCCTGTCTGAGGTTTCAAGATAAAAAGAAACAGACATTGAGCTTTGAAATTTCAGTTCAGGCAACTGAAACAAAGAAAATTGCAACATTATGTGCAATAGCTAAACCTCTTTTTATATGTTGCTGTATTAAATATAAAACATTGCCATTTCCTTTGTATAGGAAATTCAGTAGGATCTGAAAATGGGGTCAACCAAGTGCTATGACTCCTACTATAAAATGTGAGTGGTGCTAATATTCCTTTTTCAACTCTCATGTGACTACAAATAACAAAACAGATAAAATATAGCTTTCATAAAACTCGAGGTTTGGTAGAGAATTAGCATGAGAGTTGTGCAGGCAACTTGAAAATGGAAGGCTGGCCAAGAGCTCAGATTTATGCTATGAAATTTAAATAGTTTTCTCATGAGGTTTTCTTGAAAATATGAGTGCGTGTGGTCACGTTGGTTTACTGGCATATATTCCTGGAGTTATTTTCAAAGTGAACGAGGGAAGAGAAGGAGAAAGGGACCTGATCCTTTAAAAGACATTTAACTATGTGAGCATTAGGAAAGCATATAGAAATGCACATTATAAACAGCACAAAATGGGAATTTTAAATATTCATGTTTATCCAAATTTGAGTTAGGGAATATTTCTGAAAAACATTGGGCACGTGGTCAAAACAGGGTTGAAAATTTTTTCAGATGGACTGTTTTTAGTGTTACAGATTTTATCTGCATGTATTTAAGTTGTGATGCACCAACGCTAGAGAATGCTAAGGATCAAATTTTCAATTCAAATGTGAGTTATCAAAGATTTTTTTTTTTGCTTGTCTAGCTGAGCTTCGCACGGAATTCAAACACAGGTATTTAAGTAGTCAAACTGTGTTTTTCCTGGTATATCCAGTACAATTTTAGCAACTCAGAAATAAGAGATCACAGACCAAAATGAAGGAGGAAGCTTATAAGCAATACAAGCCTATAAGCAATTCAAGCAGAATTTAATTACACAAGGGGTAGCTGAATTATGGAACACATCGCTGAAGGCAGCAATAGATGCACAAATTATAAATCAGTTCAAGAAAGAGCTCAGAGAACGGAAATCAAAAAGTAAAACAAATCAGCCCTTTTAAAAACATCCTAGGGTTAAATGGGGCAGCCCACAGTGGACTCAGCAGTCAAGCCCTTTTCCTTTAAATGTTCCAGTGTTTCCAAAGGAAGAAACTAAATAGTCCTTCCATTGATTTCCATAATGGCTGTGGTTCAGTACCAGAAATACATTAGTGTATTTTTGTTCCTTACCTGTGCTTACAGAATTTTGTTGCATTTCCTTACATTTCAAAACTTAATTTACATTCCTACTGTTTTACATGACTCAGGCAGTGTAAAACAGCCATGAATTAAGTGCAAATATTATTATGCTCCCTTTACACTAGCGAAGTGATGTATAGAGTCCTTAGGGAATGTGTGAATCATGCCTGGTGTGTGTGGAAACAGACACAAACTCTGTTTAATTATATTTAATGAGCACATTTCTAGTTAATGCTTTTTGATATCACTTTAAGACTCACTTTTATTTCTTTTCCTTAAAGTAGACTGACAGAACTGAATCCAGTGCTTTCAGTATATTAATATTTTGTTAACCTTATATACATTAAAAACGATGGTTTATTCCTACGTATATAGAAAGGTCACTATTAATAGATAGCCCTCTAATTTTTCTCATCTATAATATTTAAAGTCATAAGAATATTAAATGTAGAAAGAGTCAAGTGAACAAACATTTCTCAGGATGATTGCAGTTGTGTCATTTTGAAATCAAAACTAAGAAGTTCAAGATTGATTACAAAATTGGTCTAGTACTGCACCATATCCTTCACATGATTGCAGTGTTGATCTTCAGGCTGATTAAAAAGAAAGAAAGAAATGAAACTCACTATGCATCTGAAAAAAATTTTCTGAGAAACTGCCTAATTTGAACATACACTTAAAATAGCTTCATGAAAAAGGGTGAAAAATCAGGTACACATTTTTCTGCAGATATATTCATGTATTTCTGAATGTTGGCTGTAGGAGAGATTGTGGTTGAAGCCAGCAATGGCTGGTACTTTGGGCCTCAGTATTGTTTCATTATTTGAATGTCATTGTGGAAATAAGCCTCTGTGAGTGGTGGTTATGTTGTTGCCTAATGTCCCTTGATATAAGCAGTCTAATGCCTGAAGTTGTGAAACAGAATCAGGTACTTAAAAATTAAAACCTTTTTTTATTTTTCCAATGATTTTTAGATACTTTCATAAAGATTTAAGATGCTGGCTCTACAATGATTGGAATATTCATTATATGTTCAGTAACCTTGTACTGTTCATATGAGATGTTATTATCATCAGAACTGAATCCCTATAATTCCTGTATCATTCAGAAACTGAGGTGAAAAGTGTTTCTGCAAGCCAGACATTTAATTCTGTTCCTATATAGATTATGTCCATACAAATGTTTACAATATAAATAAAGTCAATGAAGTAAAAAATATCTTTAGGATCAGTTCTTTAAAAATGAGATGCACTGTCATAGAAAGTATCAAACTGTGGAAGTTAAATTTAATTGTCTTGGTTTTCATAGTTTGAAAATATATTTATGAATCTTTGATATGTAGGTTTTTTTACTGAAAAAAATATAGGAATCTTATTTGTTCATTGGCTCCAAAATGGAAACTGCTTGATTGAAACAAGCAAAATCATAATAGATCATAATTGGTATTAAAGTTAAAATGGAATTCTAAAACAGATGTGCATGACAGCCGTGCTTTATGCCTATGAATTTATGTATTTATTCTCATCAGAGAGAAAGAATTAAGAAAAACCCAGAAGAATAATAAAAGTGAAGAAACTGCTGCTTTGTCCCTATATGAGGAACAGCATTACTTTTAGATTTATGCATGGGAGACAAAGAAATCTATGAGCTCCTGCCTGTATCTTCCCTCCCAGCACTTATGGGTTTTTTTGTTTTGTTTTAAAGTAATTGCTTTAACATTATTTTACAGAAACACTTGTTCATTCTCTGCTATTGATTTATACCTTCTCACTTTCCTTATCCTTGTCAAAACTTCATGCATGCCACCTAAGCACAGGAACAGAAACCAGCCTTGTCTTGTTTTGACTGCCACTACCCTGTGATCTTAAATGGTCCCTCAACCCTTTTGCCAATAATTATTGATGGGATCCACAGGCACTCTGATCCCACTCTTGAGGGATATAAACCAATGGTAAGTTGGAAAGGGATAGAAACGGGGAGTCTGCCCCAGGGAAGAGCTGGTTAGGAAATATCAGAAACACTGGAGCCATTGACAATATGTCAAAAATTTCAATTCCTTCATTGCTTCTCTGGATAGTACTGAGCTAACCAGCACCATTCATCTACCCCAAAAGCAGAAACAGGTATGTGTGTACAATACATACATATGTCTACCTCCATGTACGCACACAGAAGCAGTAGTCTGCAAGTCTGAAACTAAGTGATGCTGATTAAAACATGTACAGCAAAAGTTCTTGGATAAATTAACAGTGCAATTACATTACATGACACTGCCACAAGATGAATGAGGAAAACTTGGCTGGTATTATGTTCGGTTTTCAAATTGCAATTTATTTGAGGGTTCTAATGGATGCCTTATTAAAACATCTCAGTATTGGTCAGGTTTCAGCATATGTCAGAGTTTCCCATGATTGATGACACCCTCTGCTGCTTCCTTTGCACATTTGTGGGGAATTTAAGCAAAGAGGGAATGAACAGAGCCTGAGATTCATATTGATCGTGTGAAGGTGCACTGCCTGAGAGCACAGTCTAATAACATTCTCTTAGCTGGACTGCCTCACATGAAGACACTTATTACAAGAACTAAAATGTTATATTGCCCAAGATAAAAGAACGCTGAACTAAAAAAAAAGTAAGCAATGGACAAGATAGAGAAGGAAAGAAAAAGAGAAGAAATACAGGACTTTAAACGATAAAGTGTTACTATTTCTTAAAAACATACTTCAGTCAATTACTGTGATTTTTTTCTTGTAATCAATTTCATTTAGATTATATCCTGTAATTACATTGGTAGCAATGAGCACGGAGATCAGAGCTAGACACGATTAGAGTTTTGAACATCTGAACAGATAGCTTGATATTAATCATTTGGTCATCCAATGTCTTTCTTCATCACTTTAAGTACTATATACTGTAGTTAATCGATCTGACTGTCACCCATTTGATAGGTGAAAAGCACTTGCACCTAACCAACATAAATCTTAAAGAATCTTTTATGCTTCTATAGGGCAAGATTTTGATACACTGGGATTAGATCCTCATAATGTAAGAAACATTTCCTCTTGTGCTGTGAGATTTGTAAGCTAAATGATTGAAAAACAGGAAATTTCCCTGATCTCAAACTGCAAACACTGCTTGCTTTTACCTCCCAAAACACTTGTTTAAAGAAATTCATGTAAGCACTTTTTCATATCAGCAATATTTGGTTAACTGATCCATTTTTTTCATTGTAGTCAAGCTGAAGGTAAAATTAGACAATAAGTTACAGATGTGGTAGAGCGGGTTAAACATTAGAGTGCAATTCTTTCAGATGCTGAGTACCTGCCAGTATCGCTACTTCTGTTACATTCCGTTCACTTTGGCTTTCTTTTGTCCTACAGGAAGCGCTCTGCATCATCCATCATTGCATCTTTAGCGCATCCAAAATACTTCCCAAATATCTGTGCATGGGTCTTGGTGAAGTACTGTCTTATCTCTTCCATCACAGCTTCTGACTGTTTGCAACTCTGATACCATTCCAGCTTCAATTCCAAGCCTAAAAGATCATTTGTTTGACCTGCCTTGCTCATCGTTATCAGAGCTGCTAATTATATTATTCTATTTGCACCCTGGCCTGCATGGTATAAAGCTACACTATAAAAGTGTAGCTTGATTATATCAGAATCATTTGGCTTCATAGGCTCAGCAAAGTACAGCACTCCCACTCACACAGCTATGGTAGCAAGCAAGAAGCAGTAAAGAAGTGGGGGGAGGGAGGGTAAAAGCTTTAAGAATAATAGGAATAAAAATGCCAGTGCAGTTGAGGAACTCTACAAATTCTCACAGGTTAGAGATAGGCAGATTTTGTATGAGCCTTTCTGAGTGATTATGTAATCAAAACAATTTTTAAAAAATAGTAGCAATAATCATTTAAAAAGTATCAAAACTTGTGCTGACTAGAGGACTCAGAAGTTGTTATATCTCTAGGAGTTTTAAGATCTCTAAGTCTCCAGTCATCATGAAAAAATGACTAGGACAACTTAGAAACCTTGGTCAGAGTATTAGGTCTTGATCTGAACTTAAATAACTTGCTATGCTTTTGCTGTTCTGTGTTCAACATTCTCGTGTCTTTCTGCCACAGACTCACATTTTCCTTTTTTTTTTTTTTTATAGTTCTCATTTACTGAGCACCTTAAACAGGTCAAATCACTACTTATATTTTTGTAAGTTTAGTTTAAGTATAAACCTATTCTTCAGCATTTCCCAAATTTGTCCATCCTTCATTAGTCCATCCTTCAGAGTATTGGTGTCAGAGGAATTGCTGTATCGTCCTGCCTTTCTTTCTCGGTTTTACTCTTAGTCCTTTACTTTCTAAATATAGCTAACCAACTTCTAAAAGGAAAAAAGCTAAGTTCAAACTTTTCAAGTTTGAATAGTTTTCCCACAGAAGTTTCGGAGTCTCCTTCTTTGGAGACAGTCAAGACCTGTATGGGTGCCTACCTGTTTGACATGTTGTAAGGGAACCTGCTTCAGCAGGGAGGGAGATTGGACTTGATCTCTAGAGGTCCCTTCAAACCTCTGTGATTCAGTGATAGTTCCTACTATTTTTTCATGCTTCAGAGCTGATGGTTGTTTTATTGGAGAAATGCCAAAATGGCTGTTTCCTGTTGTAGATGTTGTGTAGCGTAGAAAAAAAATGGTTTCTGAAGCAGAAGCATTCATATGATTAAATCAGAAAAAACATACCCTTGTGATGAGCCTCCTATGACCATTTTAGATTAGCATGTGCGTCATGTGAACAAGCCACGCATTGGTGACCTAAACAACCTCATTGTCATCTCCAGAATAATTCCATATTTTGAAGTATTGGTTTCAAATATTTTGGGGATATTTTAATTCAATTTCCACTGTACTAAAGTAAATGAAGCAAAGTAGAATTTCAATGTTAATAAACATTGACTTTCTCATTCATAAGTATTGAAAATCTATTATTAAGCTTACCTTAGAAGATTAGAAGATGTAGCCCCAATAACTTCAGTTCTGGCAAGTTGCATTGCTCTCAGTTTCTTGATTAAAAGCAGTAATGATGTATACTATAGATAATATAAATAAACAGATACTTTCTGGCAGTTTAGTGCACAAATGCAGCCTCCTAACCCTAAGCATCAAAAGGTCAAAAGCTGAAAAACCTAGTCCATTAACCTTTGTAAATGGTTATGATATAAAAAACTGACTCTCAATATCCTAGGGTTGTGATCCTAGTGCAATAACCATCAGTAATAAAGAATTATGACTATAGTACATTATCCATCTATAAAATGGCCATTTATGACACTAGCATATTTGCTATACAGGAATGGACAACCTGTTTCTAAAATCATTATGCACTTTCAATTATGGGGTCAGGATGTAAACTGAGAAAAGTTTTAAAACAGATCACAGAAGTAATTTTTGTACATTTAACAAAACAGAAGAAAAACCTGTAGGCTAATTCAGCTCAGTAGAAAATAACAGTTTAGAAGATTTTCTATTGTGACATAGAAATTTCAGATATAATTAGATATCACCTCATTACTGGAGATCTTAGGACAGGCAGAAGACTGTCAAGATGCAGAGGGACTCTTTTAAGATAACAGTCAGCTGATTTATGCTTGAAGCATCTTTCCCTTACAGAAGCAACTTTTCCCTTAGCAGAAATAGCGACAAGCATATAGCAACCTGGATTTTAATGCTGTAAGAACCTTTTTAATTACAAAATATCTCTTTTTAATAAAGTAATGTGGAAGGTATGCTAATTTAAGAAATGTGATAAGTAATTGTGATACAGTTTGTTAGACCATTAAAAATAAGTCAGAACTGGTCAAAAGTACATAAATTTTTTGCTGCATTATATGTATGTGTGTTCAAATACATGTAGAGGGCTAGAAGATACTTTTCATTCACATTACATCTGATTAAATTTCTGTGATGTTTTTCTGCAGAAACGGAGTCCGGTGAGTTATTTGATCAATCACTAAAACTTTGATGATACATCAGCTTGGAAGACCTGCAAAAAATCCAACCCACTCTCCCTTTTAGAGAGCAGCTGGTCTTACTAATTAAAATGGAAAAACTCCATCCATCTTCATTTGCAGACAAGTCACCCAGAGAGAGACAGAACTCTGTTGTAGTTTCACAGGACAACTGAAAAGGACAGAGAAGAATTGGAAATGATCCGTTATTTTAATTTTGACAACAGATACAGAGAAAGTTCTTATTTGTAATTAGATGTGAGAGGTTATCAAAGCTAAAAGCAAGTAGCATATCAATTTTGTTTCCTCTTTTTTTTTCATCTACGTGTAATGAATAATATATCCAACTATGGAGTCAATGACTTACTTGCAGGAATGGAATTAACTATCCCTGCATATTCTTGCCATTCTGTTTCACTCTGAAAAAATAAAGATATTCTCAGGCATGTATGATGCAGATTTTAAAAGCCATTGTTTATTGAAGTTTTTTCCAGAAGTTCTCCATTTTTTTTTTCTGTAGTTTCTTGTGATAATAATAAACTCTCTGTAAATAAACTTTCTGTAAATTTTTCTGCTTCTCTTCCACCAATAATCTTTTAAATTGTTTTCTCCATCTATGAAACCAAAGAAACATGGAGTACTAAGCATACTGCCTGACTAGACTGAGCATGGTACTGGGACTCAGAGGAATAGCATCTACTCATAAAACAGTTAAGATGAAAATTATCTACAGCACTTATTTGTATAATGTTGCCTGCAAAGAGCAGAGAAGTGTAAGAGAGGGGCCCCCTGGTAGTACTCTGGAGATAGCAATACACTGATACCACACAGGCCAAAAATAAGCTGCAATTGAGTTTAAAGACTTTCTTTTCTGAAAACTGTGTGTATATAGGGTAGCACAATTAGCAGCTACTTGTATCTCTTCCATGTCTTTACTCATTGTAGTCCCTGAAGGCAGAGGTCAATGGAATGTGCATCCTCTTATGGCAGTGGAGGCCATCAGATCTCTGTTTTCCTGTCTTTTGTTCTATCTCTGCTGCACAAGCAACAGGACTGATCACACTAAAAGATTAAAACACAGTTAAAGAAGCTGAACGCGTTTTGATGCTTTAAACAAAAAGCTAAAATTCAAATTGTTTCTCTAATTGCTGAAAGTGTATAATTTTATTAGCACCGTTGGATCAAATTTTGAAAATAAATTACAATTATTTAGAGTTAACTGCATTAAAAGAACAGAAACATTCAAATATGAAATGCAGCCAAATAGGAAAGCTATATGATCTCTCAATTCCAGAATGTACATATATTTCAGCAAAGCAATTACTGTAATTATAAACTCATACAATATTACTAAGATTTATGATTAATGACTTAGGCTCTAATTTGGCAAGGACAAAGCTTCACTGACATTTCTTCGGATATTTGCTATATTTTTGACATTTTCTTAGTTCTTTACAAACCATGTCTAAAATCATGGTATATTTCACAGAAATATTAATAATATATTTACCAATTAAGCGAGGTCTGCTTTGCTCAAATCAGATGCACTTTATATATTTTAATCTGTCAATAATGCTAGAAATAATAAGTAAAAATGATAACAAAAACATATTCCCATAAAACATTTTACTATAATAAATAAATAAAATAGGTTGATTCTTTTTTTTTTTTTTTAATTAATGAACACTGACTTTCATTTATGAGGAGGTACTGTCAGGTCTTTGATTACTTTGTATAACGTGTCTGACAGAGCATTTTGTTCCCTCTAGAGCTGTACAAAACTGGGATAAAAATCTGCTTTGTAAAATTATAGGAATTTGATATCTGACTAAGCAGGAATATGTATTAAAACACACTTGCTCATAGGTGCTTGTGCAATATTCAAGATTCTTCTTTTTCACAAAATCTAGCTATAAAATAATCCTTAGATAAAATGCTAGAATCCTTCTCAGTGGAAAACTGCTGTAAAGCAACATGGAAGACATACTCTTGAAACCTGGTATATCCCTAATAAACTCTTTTCTTATCTCTCACCTTGTAGCAGTTGAATGTTGTACTTTGTATTTTATTTTATTTGGATGTACCAAGAGTATGTTGCGTTTTTATGTGTCTCTTTATTTTATTGATCCTCTCCACACTCTTAAAAATAATGGGCTTTTAGAAACCCGGTGCTACTAAAATTTATCTTTCTCACTTTCTTGCTCATTCCTTTTTAAAACAAATACATTTAGGGGATGATCTTTTACATGATGAGACATGATCAAGCAATTAATAAAACAGACAAAAAAAACCCCATCACCCTAGACTTGTCTATTAGAGTTTATTAGAAAAAGGGCACATACACAGTTATATGCTGCTTGTTGTCCCTCTGCTACTAGACTAGTAACTATTTTTCTGAAATCTTTGTTGATGCAATGCTGTGTGATAGGCATGTATGTCCTCCTCATGCTGCTGAATTAAAATTCACCTTTCAGTGAATAAGATAAATTGCCCATTTAACCAAAGCTGGATTCATCCTCTTATTGGGGCAGGGGAGGGGGAGGAAGAAGGGGGAATGCTGAAGGGCCGAAGGTGGAAAAAGCTAGGGGCAGAGTGCCAGCTAGGCTGCAGTATTCAGTTACATGTGGAATGATTTGTAATTCTGAGTAATCACTTAGGACAAGCCCTTGCACCATTTTATCTATACATGACTCTAGGCCAAAGTCAATACTCATAGTAAAATAATGAGATGAATCTAACTGAGCCCTTTTATTAATGCTCCAAGGAGCAAATCTGATGCTTGAGCTTCTCCCACGGAAAGTATCCACTTCTTCCTAAAAATGAGCAAGTGGGTCATGATGCCCAGTAGTAACCAGGGTTCTTGTCTCAAAAAAACAAACAAACAAACAAACAAACAAACAAACAAACAAACATGGACCAAACCCAAAATAATAATAATAATAATAAAAAACAACAGGGAAAAATCTGCTTTCTTATCTGTGCACCATATCATGCTTTGCCCAGCTGCAAGTGGAGACATATGAATTTTGCATTACCTGTAGGCTCATTAGAGAAATCTATCCCTCTCCTAATAGTTTTTCCTGACTTGGTGAGAAGAAAAAAAATCATACAAAGAAAGTACAATAAAAGAGAAGGAAAAAAAAAAAAGAAAGATGGTCTGTTTGAGATACATGTTTGTATTCTTTCCAATGCCGACACTATGAAACAAATTAGCTATACTAGGAAGTCCCTGGAAGTGGAGAGGAACACTCACTTGTTGTCACCGTGGTTATTTTATAGCAGGAAGCTTTTCATACTGCGACAATTAGCCTATTTATTTACAACACCATAATATTTTTGTCCTTATTTCTTTTGTGTCCGTTCATGATGTGAAATTGTACTCCATCAGTGATCTTTCACCATAGAATATCCAGTCTCTTACCTACTGCCATATAACATGTGACTCTCCCATTCTGCTACAGTTTTCTGTGTAGTTTTCAGTGTTCTGTGAGTGATATCTCTCTAGTTATACAGTAGCAAGCATTGGAATATCCCACACTCAATATATATTAGCCCATGTGAAATGATATGTGATTTTATCCATAAATGTAACGAGTACACAAATTTTCCCACCATTATATTGTATAAATTCAGAGGTTTTATTTAGAATACAGAATTTTAGTCCCTTTAAACATTCATTTTTTGAAGTGGCCATAAAAGAATTAGTGAGATAATTTCCTCTGAATTTTTATTGGGTACTTCTGAGAACCTTGCCTGTTTTTAAGAACAAGAAGTATTGCAACACCAGACAAAATGCTTACATCTCCAGATGCAGATTTGCAGATTTGCTTTTCAGATACAAATATAAAATGACTGAAGCAGCCCAACACCCCTTCTTCACAAATTCAGATTAATTTAAAGCTATTAAAAATATTTTAAGTATCAGCATAAAAACAAAAGTCTGATTTCTCACAGCATGCAGACAATTTCAAGCATGTGTATAACACATTGAATGATAATAGGCTTTAGTTTCTACTTCCCTTTCCTATAATATCATAAACTAAAAATTTAAAACACAGTTCTGTAGATTTTCTGTGAAATTGATATAATCTGTGATGATTTCTTTCTGTTGATCCCTGAGGAAGTTCATTTATTGGAAGGATGACTAGACTATTTTCTTTCAAAAAAATCTCTTTATAATTTTAACTTATTCTCAAAAGCACGTTGCTTTGAACAACTAAAAAAAATCATAATGTATTATTTTCTGAAGGAAAAAAAACTATTATTTTCATCACTGTAAAATTTCATTTATGTATCATTTTATCTTCATTTCATTTCAAACATGTCAATCAATCAATTATAAATCTTGACATGATTGTATGTTACTGTCTCTGAATATTGTGTAATATAGCTGCTCTAATTTATGGGTACTATGTACAGATAAAAAAATACTGTCTAAAATTCATGTAAACATAAAACTTGATTTACAAAAATTATGAAGTTGTTTGCCTTTCTATATACACTTTTCTGCAAGTTTCAGGCAGCTTTTGCTTCTAGATTTTTTTTGGGGGGGGGGGGGGGGAGAGGGGTGTTAAGTTAAAATAGACCTCAAACATTGAACTTTTATGTGCAGAAAGATTAATTTTGGCTTTAAATGTGGAAGTAATTAAAGAATTGTGTTATTTGCTACAAGTTCAGCCCTCTTCTAGGCCATAAAATTTCCAGAAATAATAATACAAAATTAAAACATGACTTAAGCCTAGCTAGGTCAGCTACGGGTTAAGAATTTTCAAAGAAAACAATACAGCTCAGCTAATGCCTGGTTCCTTGTTTGCCATGGTCATTAATTCTGAGGATAAGGAAGTTGCCCTTTTGCACCTTAAGTACTGGATACAATATGGATTACCTTGTCTTAAATAGATGCATCATGGAGTCAAATTTACTCTGCAATACCTGTGCAATGGAGATGAATAAAACGACTTGTATTACCCTCTTCAGAGAATCGCAGAATGGTTGAGGACAGACATGACGTACTCAATAAATGCATTGATTTTTTTTTTTTTTCATTTGCATCTTTAGGAAACAAATACCACTTAAATCTTATCTTCTCAGAAGAATAGAAAGAAAACATGAAACCAGAGTGAAACTATATATTTTGTGGAAGGTGGAAAAAAGTCTACATGCATCAAAAAACTTTATTATGTAGATTACAACAACTGTCTTTATGAACTGTTAGGTTGAATTAAAATGACTGAATAGAAAATTAAATTTAACTTCAGGAATCTTGTTATCAAGGACCAGCTCTAGGAAGTCTATTTGCAAAATCCTGGTAGACCCAGTAACCACAAAGAGGAGTCCTGTACAGTCCTTCAACAAATGGGTTAAAAAAAAAAAAAAGAATGGCATCATCTACAGCTTTAAAATGGATTTCTCAATTCCATCTACTTCCTTGTAAGAAACTTAGAAACAACACTGTCTTGGTGTGAAAACATCTATGTGGGGCAAATGCATCTAGGTCATGCAGAAACAGTATGTTTCCATAGCTATCATTAGTGTAATACACTTCACAGCAAGTCCTACTGTGAGCTAAATTCAGGCCCAGTGGGTGCTGCACTATTGACTTCAATGAAGCTGCACCTGCTTATACCCTATGTGAATCGGTGCTTGTGTGTACAATAAGAATAGTATTTCAATCACTAGCATTCACTGAACACTATTTCAATGGCTTCTCAGTGTGAATTCCTGCTGTAAAATAGCTATTGTGCCATAGCTGGCTATTCCTTCCCACCCTGCTTGCCCTTCCCCCCATCATTCCTCAGTACAGCCTGCACACTACAAACTGCTT